CGATAGCACCTTTTCTGTTCGTAATAGTAATGGAAGCCCTGACGGCGAACCTGCGTACGCATAAGGACATCAAGAGAATCCAAGTCGCTTCAATCCCGGAGCAAGCAATAACGGTATGCTCGACGTTCGATGATGCCCTGACCCTGATAGTGGACGCATCACACGCATCGATGGCGGAAGTGCAACACATGATGGAAAAATTTTGCACACTCTCGGATATGAGAATCAACTGGGGGAACAAAACCTTGGGATGGTGGATCCACCATCAAGGTGTGAGGCCCCCGGAGCAGCCGAGGGTCAAATGGGTACCCAATGAGGCTCTCGTCCGGTTTCTTGGGGTTGCACTAACAGCAAATGGTAGACCATCAGTAAATAACGAAGGACTGCTCAAATCACCGCTGGAAAAATTGATACAATGGAAAGATCAATACACTTCATTGATGGGACGCTCCTTGGTGATAAACAATGTGGTTCTCGCCTCCCTGTGGTACAAATCGGTCATTTGGGCTCTAGACAAAACAGCCCTTCGGCCGTTGCAACGGAGGAATAGACAAAATAGCCGCATTTCTATGTAGGAGGAATCATGAAAAACACCATGTGATCAGTAGGGTGGCATGACAATCCATAATTCAACCAAAGACCAAAGGAGGGCTGGGCATAATTGACCTGGTAATACAAACCAAAGCCTTGGCATTACAATGGCTCAAACGGCTTCTTATTTGCCTTGATACCCCATGAAAGGGGCTGGCACTGGAACAGATTGCACGTCTGGCCCCCGAACAACAGAGGAAATCAACCCTCTAACGTGGCTAGAAAATAGAGGTTGGCCAATACCGAGAAGGTACCTTAAACAACAGGACCCGATCTCCCCAAGAGAGCAGGCGAGAGATGATCTGCGAAACGACCCCTTTTGGCCATCCCTTCTGAGGACTTGGAGGAACCTCCCCCTGCTTGACAAAACCCTCCTGAAGAGATGGGAGGAAGTATAACGACAACCCCTCTTTGACAACAGGAGAATTGTTGACACCAGGGGACAGGTTCTTCACTGCATGGACTCCCCCTGGCGCGTATGGGTAAAACGGGGAGTTCTCAGAATAAGGGATATCTGGGACACATCCACAATGGACTGGATTGATCCGGGCCAGCTCCGACAAAAACTAAGATATAGCCATAAATCGGAAAGTGCATTTGAAGACCTGAAAGAACGAATTCCCCTAAGTTGGAGAAAAATCCTCACAAAGGGACCTGTTTTGCAGGAATCCGACTGGGTGCAGATTCCGGGTAGTCAGGGAGAAGTAGGCTAGGTGGTACGCTGCAGTCCCAAAGGACCGGTGGCTGTTGACATATTTAAAGTGGGCAACTACAACACCTTACAGAGACTTGGGCGAGAACAAACAAGGTTTTTCCAAAGCGAGGAACTATMACGAATCAGGGTCCTGGAAAATGAAGACCAATGGATGACCTTCCTCCCAAACACCCCCATCACTCAACTGTCRTTRGACCCAACGGAGTGGACATGGACCTCTCCCTCCGGAAGGGGCAAGAAACATATCAGGAAATTACACAACATAACTATCAAATCAACRTACAGATTACTCCGTCCAACGACTAATCTACATGACCAGGTCGAGGCTAGATGGATGACGCACCTGACCATTAGCAAGGAATCACTTCGGAGGGTAACATGGTTTTCGACTAGTTAAGAAGAAACATGCGAAATTGGCTTCCCTTCAATGGCAAATAAAACATAGATGCCTACCAATGAATGACTGACTAATAGACAGGACGTCCTTGGAACAAAACGGTCGGGCCCTGCCCTGGTGCAAACTTTGCTCAGATTCCTTTCCATCCAGGAAAAGGCCAGAAACCATAGAACATATCTTCTTGCAATGTCCAAGAGCARTCTGGCTTTGGCGCTGGTGGGACAGGGTCTGGGACCAGCTGGAAGTAACGACACCCTGGCCATGGGATTGGTGTGCGTTACTATTAGAAACATGGACTGCAGAACAGGCAGATGACTTCACCCAAAACATTCACCCAAAACATCTTCAAATTGGGACGTAGGGCGGTGCTATGGGCGCTTTGGAGACGCCGCGGTACATACGAAATGGAAGGGGTGAGATTGGAAGGACCCAAATTCACTGAAAGCATACAACAACAAATCCAAACAGAGTTAACAACCCACKTGGAAGAAGTCAAAGCCCAAATCCGACACACACACACACAACGAGAAACAGACCAAAAAGTGCAGGACTTCTCCGCAAAATGGCCCTTTTCCCCCCCGACCAATAGTCTGTTGGATTCGAGATGGTATGGGAGCTAGAGACGGCACGGGAGCCAGGGAAGAAGGGGGAGCAGGTATGGGACAAAATGTACATTATCAGGGCAACAGGGACTGATAGGGGAAGGGAGGAGCTAGTGTGCAGCTGCAAGGATCTGGCGCCTGGTTTGGGGCGAAGAGGTTTCCCCCTCCCAGCACAGTCAATCCCCTTTCATCATGTACGAGCGCATAGGATAGTAGGGTAGGGGATACGCTGGGATTATTGATGAGCGGTTGGGTTGGGAGGTGACCTCGTGATCTTAGGACGGCCAAGGCTCATCACTTCCGGTGATCCCTGTGTGTGCCTGGTAATTAGTCTCTACAACACCCTGGAAAAAAAAAAAAAAAAAAAAAAAAAAAGATGAAGTATAAGTGGTTCTTTAGCACATGGGGCATTGAGGGAAGATTGGCACATGGGGCATTGAGGGAAGATTGGCAAGTAGGAAACCGGATGGAGGAATTTCATTAACTCATGGTTGCTGGGGCCCAGACCGCCATGAGTAGCTTTAGTTCCCTCTAGGCCTGATTAGCCCGTTCTCTGAGCATCATGTAAATGCTCACAGTTAATMCCGCTATTCCTTGTAGTACATACACCTGCCAACCCGAAAATACAGTCTTGCTAGATCACTTCACTTGCTTGGGATGGATGAGTAGACAGGACTGGTCTGCGGCCAGAGCTTCTGGTTTTATTTGGCGCCCTGTCCAAGGGTGAAGAGGTCCGGAACTGTTGTCCTGCTCTTTGGATGAACCTTTTGCATTGGAGGGACGCTGGACCCGGTTTCCAGCAAGTGCAGCTCCCCACGGATAGCTGTGGATGCTCATATCACCACAGGGTTGTGAGAAACAGGCACCACTCTACTGAGCCGACTCTGATGTTTAAAAAAAAAAAAAAAAAAAAAAAACAATGGCCTGAATTAGGACAGGGTTGTGAGAAATAGGCACCATCACCGAGGTCGAGTTGTGAACCGATGTTATTTTGAGTCCTTTAATAGGTACCTGGTCGGGTACCAGCAGAATTTGTGTGGGTACCGCGACGGTTTTGTCGCAATTTGAACCAGGGACCTTGAGTACTAGCTGTAGGAATTTTTGTGGTAGTAACTTGGGGTCTTTGAACTGGTGCCTATTCGGGTGATATCAGTTGGCGTTTTTTCGGATGGTGACCTATGGTATTAGGAATAGCCTGGACCTGGCAGCAAGGACAGAGTTGTGCGAACATATAAATACGTAGAAGGTAAGTGTCAACGACCTCTCGGGTCTGAAGTTCGGTAACGATGTTGCTCGGAGCTGACAGAAGCAGGTGTTGTGGCACGAAGGTGGTTCATTGGGGTTGATGAAGAGTTTGGTGGATACCTGATTTTTTTTTATTTTTTATTTATTTTTTTTTATTTTTTGAAAATGACGGGCCCAGTGCCCAAGGCTTATAATAACAAAGAGAACAGAGGCCGGGGTCCTCACAGTCTACCCGGAAAAGGAACATACCTGATTTTCGTTCTTATTGACTTTCTACTTGTCAATTCTACATGATTTGGCGTTTGTCAATTCTGCTCGTTTTGGCGTGGTGCGATATTATCCCCATCCAAGGACGGCGCACGTAAACTTACCTGGAGTCAGCATACCGGGTTGAGTGAGCGTGTTAACCGCTAAGTGGGTTGTTTGATTGGTAACATTGGGTTACTKAGTTGACATTTTGAAGATTTGTGAATGTCCTGCGAAGAGCGTCGAGATRACGGTGGAGCGCSAGGYGGAGGCGGCGGMAGTGAACGAARACCATATTGTCCACCGACGTGTTKTAACTGCAATGAAGTGGGGAACTATGCCAATCAGTGCCCACACCGTAATCRGAGACACTMCAGTTCAGCAAGGCCATCTACCTCGGCTGACTCAAGACGATCGAGAGCGCCTSGACTATATGACCACCGGCRYCGAAGCTCTCCATCCAAGGACTCGGATATGAGGGCGCAGATTGCTGAATTGGGGCAGAACTACGCCGTAATGAARGAACATTACGACATGGAGCRCAAGAAGATGGAAGAGAAGGCTCGGCGTAAGCAAGAGAAAGAGGCGGCAAAACGGCTGGAGTTAGAGGAGAGAGAGAGACAGGAAAGGAAGGCAATGAARAAGAAGGAAAAGCTGCGAAAGGAAGCAGAGMAGCGTGCTGAGATGAGCAAAGACCTGCGGATGCAGATGAAAATGGACATGTACAAGTTAAGAGATGTGATGCGCRAAGAATTTGTCGAGCAGATGCGTGAGGTGATGATCCCTGTAAGTATGCAGCTGAGGAGCAGAGGGAAAGAGAAGGTGTCCCGCGGATCTGACAAGGGATCAACATCGGAGGAGAGTGTATCTCCGAGAAGAGGAAGCGGGGACCTGAGACGCATTTTGAAGGTAGTCGACTGATGGAGCTCCCACTAAAACGAACACCCAAGAGGGGTGGGCTGAAGCCAATGAAGCTGTGTGCACGGTTGACCCGCTCGAAGGCAAAAGGAGCGAGGAAATCGGGCTCGGCTAAGAAGGTGTCACCAGTGAAGACGCCTTTGTCTCGACGCAAGGCCGTCAAGACGAAGACCCCAGTGCCTAAGTCTACCGCCGTGAAAGGACCTCTGGCTAGGATTCGGTACATGAATCAGACGATGAAAGAGTTGAAGGACCTTGATGCCACTGAACTACAGAGGATCTGTAAGGAAGAGGGAGTGCATTACGATAAGAAGGTGGACGCAATCTTTGATATCGTGGAGCATGRMACACGGTTGAATTTCRGGGAGGAACYRCCGAYAGAGGACGTGATCATACCGGTGGAATCAGAGACCTGCGGAGATCGTCCAGTAGACGAATTGGAATAATGCRACTTCAGTGTGTCGCACTTATGGCAACTTTGCAGATTTTTGACGCAGGAAAGATGTAAGTCCTTTTCAGTGCATCAAAGGGTCGAGCGCTTACTGAGATCGGGCGTTATTTTGCTATCTTTGGAGAATCAGATCGCCTGGACGGGTAAATTTGTGCATAAGTGGCTAGAGTTGTATGAGCATCACGATATTGATTTCCTGGATCTGAATTGTTGTGTCTACGTTACCATCTCGCCTTATTGTAAGCATTTTTACGTGGGTAGGTCAACAAGGGACGTCAATACTCGTTGACGGCAACATGTGTACGCATGTAGGACACGTAGCCAGTCACACTTTTACCGCTGGTTGGTTTCGTTTGGAATCGGTAATTGAGTTCTAATTCCGATTGACGTTTTTGTGGGGACAGACCTGAATAAGTTGGAGGAGGTGTATATAGTGCAATGGTCCCCTTTCCTTAACACTTCTGGTAGTAGGAAGCCTTGGTCGTTCGCGAAAAAGGGTAGGCGGGGAAAACGCGAGTAGTGTAAGGCGAAGGCTAGGAGCACAACGGAGCAGATAGTTAAGCCTTTTCGCTTTCAGCGGGCAGATTCAAACCAATGGAAGGTGAATTTTTATAATCTTTTTGATGATATCCTGTCCCATGGTAATCAGTGTACTGAAATTCGGGTTGAGGGGGGTAACGTTTAGCGCCTGTGTTGGAAAAAACTCCTGAAATCCTTTGGCAATACTAAGATACGTTGCAATGATCGCGAGTGTTTGCTTAGTAATAGTAAGCATCTGATTGAAGCTGGCGGCAATCTGAAGGTGGTGTATGTACGTAAGTGGAAACCTCGTTGTGGTTACTTGAAGTCGGTATTGACCGGCATTTTGAGGAATCCACGCAAGCTGGCTGAATTGTATAAATGCAGCATGCGCTCATTGCTACGTATCTATAATGCTATAAAAGATTTTACCCACAACTCTATTAGAAAATATTTGAGACGGCTTATCTCTCCAATTTTTCGTGAACGTCTTAATCTCAGTCTTGCCGCTGACCTAATTTTTCGAATAAAATTTGATGATCGTATTCGGATTTCGGAGTTTCGTAAGGTCGCTAATGATATGCTCATAAGTTGTGACTTACTGCATTGTTTTTTGCGAAGGTCTCGAAGGGAGATGCATATTGTTTGGGTGAGAAACCCGTCAATCGCTGATGTTTTGTACAATCAACGTAGTCACTCGACACGCGATGTACTTGTCTGTAACTGTACGGACTTACCTTCCCACGTCGGGAGGGGCACGTTGTAGGAGCCGTACCCTGAAGGACTTTCGAGCCTCGGTGGACCCCACTGCGGGTCCCACTTGGCTCGACCCGCCCACGCTCACGCTCGGGGCGCGGGTCGTTCGTCCCAGGGGCTCCCCCACCAAGTGCTATGAGATGGATGGGGATGGGCCTTTTGCGAGAGGGCTTTACATTGGGGGATGTAGCTCCGCTCTTGCGTCAAGATGGTAGCTCTTTGATCACTCGCGGCGTTGTTTTCTCGATCCATTTGAGTCTGACCAGGCAATTGCTCTTTCCAATACTCAGGCAGTCCACGGAGTTCGTTGAGAGTTCGTCTTCTTTCCGTGCGCAGGCCAAGCATCATCCATTGGGCCACGCACCCTTTCACTAAGTCTAGTGGCGCGGGACAGCCCCGACAACATCCTTGGGGTGAGGCGGCGTCGCCCGGACCCCTAGCCGCTATTTTGTTTTTTTTGTGCGAGCCACTAGCATCGCATCACCTATCCGAGACCGCCCTTAGTCTTTTCAGGGGTCGCATTGCACATGAGAGAGAGACATTCCATACAACCTCCCCACAACCCAAGTCCATGCATCAACCATCCACCCAAGCGGCCGGCCTCATCTCATCCCGCATCCATAGCTTAAGCCGGATCCAAATC